TGCGCTTCAGGTGCTGCAGGAGCTGCCAAAGGTGGAGATTGGGGGGGTGGGGGGGTCAGGGCCAGCCGGACTTGCAACGGACCCCCCCCAAAAAAATGCCTCCTCCCTCCCTCCTCCCTCCCGCTGCCCGCTTGCTCACCAACGTGTTGCCCTTCTTTACGTCGGCCAGCCTCTCCAAGACTGCGGCCAGGTTGGGGTCGTCGGATTCCACCGACCAGATGGGGGGTACGGCCGGATAAGCCTCCTGGGGGGGGACGGACAAAAGGGGGGGGTGTAATCAGGTCCCAGGCCAAAGTGGGGGGTGGGCAGGAGGAAGAGGATGCTTTTGGGGGGAGGGCCTTTGTGAGGGATGGGAAGTGTAGTCCCAAAAGGGGATACTGGGATTTTTTTTGGGGGGGGGGAATTCAAGGGAGGAAGAGGGAGGGGAGGGGGGTTGCCAGGAGGGGAGGGATGCAGGCATGGGAAGTGTAGTCGAAGGGGTGAGAGGGAGAGGGATGGGTTCTGTAGTGCAAGAGGGGAGAAGGGGATACTGGGGCAGGGAGTCTGGTTCAAGGGAGGAAGGGGACTGGGTGCCAGGATGGGAGGTGTAGTTCAAGAGAGGAAGGGAAAGGATGATGGGATGGGACCTGCAGTCCAAGGGAGGAGAGGGATGGGGGGGGGGGTCAAGATGGGAGCTGTAGTCCAAGAGATGAGGGGGAATGATGGGAATGGTAGTCCAAGAGAGGAAGGAATGGGACCTGTAGTCCGAGGGAGGTGATGGGAGGGTTTCAAGAGGGGAGGGGGTAGTCCAAGAGGCGAGAGGAGGGCTACTGGCATGGGACCTGTAGTCCAAGAGAAAAGGGAGGGGAGGGATGGGGCAGGAAGTGTAGTCCAAGGGAGGAAGGGATGCAGAGATGGGACCTGTAGTCCCAAGGGAAGTGAGGGAGCGGGTGGGGGGGGGCACCAGGAGGAGGGGCAGAGAATACTGGGATGGGACTTGTAGTCCAAGGGAGGAGATGGAGGGTTTCAAGAGGGGAGGGGTGGCCCAAGAGAGGAAGGGATGGGCCCTGTAGTCCAAGGCAGACCCAGCGCAAAACCAACCACCCTCCAACCCAACTTTCCTCCCGCTGGGTCGAATCCCGGTTTCTGGACTACGTGGCAAGCCGCTTCTCCTCGGCGGGGGGGGGCGATAGGTTTTGGAGTCCCCCGCCTAAGCCCCGCCCACCGCGCCTAAGCCCCGCCCACCGGAGCGGCAGGCCTCCCCCACCCCAGGCGGGAGGGTGGTTGTTGTTGTTCCCCCCCTCCCTCCCCCGCCCCCTCCCGCTCACCGTGATGTTGCCATGGATACGGACCGGCCCTCCCCCGGCCGGCCCGGGCAGGAACTCGCAGCCCAGCTCGTCCGGGCAGGCGCGGGCGATGCGGAAGCGCTCGTGGCCGCGGTGGAAGATGGACTCGAGCAGCCGCAGCTCCCGCCTCAGCAGCGCGCGCCCCGGGCCCGCCGCCCCGCCCGCCGCCGCCGCCCCCGCC